AGATTGCTTGTATTAGAAAGTTTTATTTTTAAAAACTGTTATTTAAAAAACCGTTGTTAAAAACTGATTTTGTAACTTGAGTTTCATTTTAAAACTATTAAATATGAGGGTTGGAGGGATGGCTCAGCAGTTACTAGCACCGGCTGCTCTTCCAGAGGACCTGGGCTCAATTCCCAGCACCCACATGGCAGCTCACACCTGCCTGTAACTGCAGCTCCAGAGCTTGAGGCCTCCCAAAGACACCCATGCAGGCAAAAACAACAAAAACAAACAAACAAACAAACAAAACGATTAAATACATTTTGCGTTTACATTAGAAAAGAATTTCTAGCAACATCTAATAAGGCTCTGAACACACTTCAGCCATTTTGTACTATGTATTTACCTGAAATGCATTCTCAGAATTATTGATTATCAAATAAAAATATCAACTCTGAAAATGTTGAAAAGCTTCTATATCCTTTAGGTCAAATATTCAAGTCAATGTTTAATTATGTAAAACTTACAAATAAGCACATCCATTTCATTAGTATGAAAACTTCCTCTTGTCTTTAATATGTGCCAAGAATTTATGCCAAAGAAAATAAATATATACTACTTATAAAACTGTGTGCCCATAGTTGCATAAAATGGGTAGTGAGAATAAAAAGTTTAAGAAGTCTCGTCCTGATGATTTCTGATTTACTCTCAGCAATATAATTAACATTTTACGTCGTCTTTTCTCCATCTGTCTGTCTTTACTAAACATTGTGGCAGTGACAGAGGCTCGTTACTGTAATTTCTACAATATTAAGTCCTTTACATATATTTCCCCATTTCATTCAATCATCACACCAGAGACGGGCATTATACCCATTTCAGAGGGCTGGGGAGATGGCTTGGTGGATAGAGTACCTGCAAGCTCTAGGACCCATGCACTGGGAGATGGAAATATGAAGATCCTAGCCAAGACCTCAAACTCCAGGTTTAGTCTCAAAAATAGGGTAGAGAGTGAGAGAGGTGGACACTTGACACTAGCCACTCTTCCAGAGGACCCTCTGCTTTTACTGCCAGCACCCACATGGAAGCTCACAATTATCCCCAGTTCCAGGGGATCTGATTCTCACTTCTGTCCTATGTAGGCAACAAGCATACAGGCATGTAGTACACTGACATACATGTAAACAAAGCACTCACACACAAAATAAATAAATCAATTTTAAAAAATATGAAAGTTTCCCAGCCTTGTCTACAGAGCATGGAATTCAGCACAATACAGCAAGTGATCTTATGGACACCGATATACTAATTCTAAGTTTGTGAATTGTGAAGAGGTTTTAAAAAAAAAAAAAAAAAAAACCTCTTGTAGGTACCTGTTGTAAAGATACAATGTAAGAGGAGACAAATGAAGGAGGGCGGAAGCTCCTCCATTACTAAACACCCAAAACAAGATTGTGTAGTACTTGCAAAAGGAATGAACAAATAGACCAATAGGATAGGACAGAGATTTCAGATAGAGAAGTACATAAATACAATCAACAGACTTTTCACAGAGGAGCAAAGGCAACATAATGAAGAAAAGACCGTCTTTTCAATAAATGGTGCTGGGAAAATCTGTGTATCTTCATGCAAAAAAAAATTAAACAAAGACCTTACATTTCTAATAAAAACAGTACATAATGTGCCACCAGCATGGTAGCACTTATCTATAACCCCATAACTTCAGTGGCTAAAACAGAAAGATTATGAGTTCAAGACCAATCTGGACTACATAGCAAGATCCTGTTTTCAAAAAACACAAAGCCAACAACAACAAAAAACCACTTCTAAATGGGGCATGGTGGAATTAAGAACTGTAATCTCAGCACTGAGAGGTGCAGGTAGGAGGAACAGCACTTCAGAATCACTCTTAGATACACTGAGTTCCACGACAGCCTGGGCCGTGTCTTAAAAAGCAAAACCAAAAACCCCTCAAAATGGATTACAGAGCCAAACATAAAAACCATATAGTTCCTAGAACATAACAGAAACTGGCAAAGCTATATGATTTAGATATGGTAGAATTAATCCATGAAAAAGAAATGATAAGCTAGACCATTAAAATCTTCTGCTCGGAAAAAGGCATTGTCAAAAGAATGAAAAGGCATGACAGAGACTGAAAGAAGGTATATATAGAAAGATTTTACATAGATCCCATACTCAACATATATATACACACACTCTGAAAGTCAAAATAAGGAAACAATGTCACTGGAAACAGGGAGATGGAGCTGGTGCTTCACCTCTGCAGACTTACATACATGGTGCTGGAAGGTTCGAGGCTCACTGCTGGAGGAGGAAAGTAAACATCAATATCACCCAACTACAAACTTTGTTGCCTACAACAGAGACCTGCTTGCAAGATACACTGATGTAACAGCGACACAACTGTTACTGGAGTAACCCAAGCACCCTTGGCTTGGTTTTAAGGCTCACTCCACAAAAGAGAACCTATAGCAGACACTGCTAAAGTGGCCAAGAGCCTGAGACTAGATAGGTCATGAGCCTAGAGGAAAATCTAGTACTATTATTCTGCTAAAGGAACATAGCAATACAATGATTCTTAATGATATATTCTTATACCCGTAGGGCAGACATCACTCAACCCTCATCAGAGAAGATTCTTCCTGCAACAGATGAAAACTGACATGGAGGTCCACAACCAGACAGTGCAGAGAGTGAGAGACTTTGGAACAGTCAGCCACACACAGGATGTCTTTACCAAACCCTGCCCCTCAAGGCTTAAAGGTCTATGTGAAAAAGGAGACAGAAAAATTGTAACAGTTAGCCAGAGGTGGGGGATGACTCTAAGGAAAAAAGCAATTTCCAGACACAAGGCTAATACACATATGAGCTTACAGGATCCGCACTGGCTCAAACCAGAAAATCCCATAACAGAGATGGGGACACACAGGGACACAAAGTCCCACCCCAACGAAGAAGCTATTTGCAACTGATACCTGATAGGAAAGGAAAAGCAAGTTTTTCAAATGGAGTCTCACTGGGTATTATCAACCACACTCAAGGGCAGGCCCCATGCTCAGGAGTAGTTGACCAACACAAAACAGACTTTTTGTACACTTTTTGTTTTGTTTTGTGTGTGAGAAGGAGGGAGAGAGGGGAAGGAAAGGAGGAAGGGAGGGGGAGGGAAGAACGGAGGGAGGGAGGCAGGCAAGAAGGGAGGGAAGTAGGGAAAGACTAGTTTGTTTTCATTTTTTTAGGTTGGGTCTGTTTTGAGAGAGAGAAAGAGCATAAGGTTGGGTGGATAGGGAGGTGGGAAGAATCTGCAGGGAGTTGAAGAGAAAAGATATGATCAAAATATACTGTATGAAAAAAAAGTTAATAAAAATAAAAAATAGACACAAATGACCCAGTTAAAAAAAAAAAAGAGGCAACATCTGAATAAACCTAGCACCAACAAGGTGCTACACCAACAAGGTATAGAGATGGCAAGTAAGCATATAAGATACTGCATGCCATAGATCATCAGGAAACTCAAAGTCAAAAGAGGGAGACACCGCTGTTCTAATACATACTTATTAGAATGGCCACACCCCAAAGACTGACACCAAATGCTGACAAGAACATTAGACACACTTTTCATATGATCCAGAGATTACACTCCTTCATGTTTACCTAAATGAGCCAGTAATTAATGTCCTCAGAAAAATCCACAAAGTAGTTGTTATAGTAGCTTTATTCAAAGCTGCCAAATCTTTTGAGCAACAAAGATGTCCTTCAGCAGGTCAAAGGATAACTTAAAACAGGTACATCAAGAGGGCAGATTATTATTTAACTTTTTAAACAGGTATCTGGCCAACAAGTTGGCTCAGCCAGTAAAGGTGTTTGCCATGAAGCTTGGCAATCTGAGTTTGATCCTCAGGATGGAAGAAAACTGACTCTCACAAGTTGCCTTCTGACCTCCACATGCATGAATGGGTCCCCCACACCCCGACACACTACATTTTTAAAGAAACAGCTATCAACCCGTGAAAAGGCAATGAAAGTACCTGAAATTCTTATCAATAACTGCAGCAAACTAACCTGAAACACTTAGGTACACATTGAAGAAGGGGAAACCACAGAGCCAGAGAAGAGGTAAGCTGTTGCCAGGGATGAGAAGGAGGAAATGGCACAGCACAGGTTTCCATGGCAATGGAAATAATCTGTACGATATGTGCATGAACACATTTCATTACTATACACTTGAATATACAACACCAAGAACGAATCTTAAGTATGTCATGAACTCTGGGTAACTGTGTGATGTAGGCTCATCAACTATAGCTATCTGAACTAGTGGAGCCATGCCTGTCTGGAGGCAGAAGGTATATGGGAACTCAACTGCTCAATTTTGCTATCAACTAAAAATTGTTCTAAAAAATTAAATATATATATTAAAATTATATATATAAAATTAAAAATATATATTAAATAAATATATATATATAAAAATCAACCAAGCAAGACATGGTAGTACATCTGACTTAGGAGTCAGATGCAGGGGAATGACTACAAATTTGAGATTAACTTGGGCTACATGAGTTCCTACAAAGTGAGATTCTGTCTCAAAAAAGAAAAGAAAAGGAAAAGAAGAAAGATATCATATATACATATACATATACATATGTATATATACATAATAAAATGTATGTGTATACTTACATCTTTAATACTTTATCTAGATCAAAAGTGATTATTTCTAAGCTCAGAAGGCAAAACCACAAAATTACTGCCTGATTATTCCTCTTCCTCTTCTTTCTTTTACTTTCTCTCCTTTTTTTTTTTTTTTTTTTTTTTAATTTTGGGGTAGTGAGTGTCGTAGCTGGAGACTGAACCTAGAGCATCATAAACACTAAGGATGTTTTACCACTGAGATATACCCCAAGCCCAAACCTGATGACTTCTAGCCCTTAGGCTTAGCAAGCATTATATTACCTTAACTGTCACTGAAGCCTCAGAACAAGAATCAAAGAACTTACTTTTCAATTCTCTTCTTTCGTTCCCTTTGTCTGTTTTGTTCTTTCACTTGTTCTCTCTCAATGTCCATGAAAAGCCTCCTGTGTCTCAGGTATTGCTTTTGACGCTAAATGAAAGAAGTTAAAATTATCTAGTCTGTTCACAAACAACTTCTCAAAGAAGGATAATATTCTTAGTCTAAAGAAGAAAAACTGTCAGATAACAAGGTCATATGTGATAAAGTCATTACCTTCCTCTGTATCAATAACAGTACATACAGTATGAAAATTATGTACATAGCTACTTTATTAATAGGCAAACCATTGAAAGTGGAAATTTAGTTTACCCTTAATAAAAGCTGAAATAGTTAACATCATCTGAAGAAAAAACAGTGTATTAGTTTGCCCTTAGTATAGTCCATTTGTCAACAGTACCTAGGAAATTGTTATATTTGACACAATAAGGTACATACTTTATTTACTTTGTGTTCTCAAGCAGTGTCATAAAAGCAGGGGCTCAGAGAGAGAAAGGGAGGCATTTTATAATAGAACAATAGTCCATTTAACCTTAAAGACTAAAATCACATCACAAAGCCTAGCCACACATGATAAGGACAAGTGCAGAAGGGATGAAGTATGTCAGGGTATGATGCTCATAAACAGAATGAGTGTAATAAAAGCAAGTGCTACTCTAAGGTGGATGATGTTTATGCCTCCAGATTTACATATTCCCTTTCAAGGACACAAACTACTCAGAGGATGACATATCCACACATACACTAGGTCAAAATATGACTTCTTTGGTAAAAGAATCTTCATATGGAGAATGACTCTTATTATTGAATATGCATCAGAAAATGTTTCTTTTCTCATCTGACACCACACATGGCCAAGCTTTAAAACAGAGTATTTTCTAATTGAAGGGGAAGGAAAGGAAGTCATGCATTTAAAGTATTCCTCTAAGTTATAGTGGCAAATGCCTACAGCTAGAGAAATTCACTTGAATCAAATTTTTGACTTCACACAAGTGCATCTTAAATTCTAGGAGCCTACAAGAGAAGTTAAGTATATTATAATGTCTTAACATCTTTGAAATTCTGGGTTTTGTTTTGTTTTCCTTCTTCTTCTTCTTTTTTTTCAACACTAATTTTTTACAAGTATGGATGTTTTGCCTGCCTGTATGACAATGCACCATGTATATGCAGTATCCACAGAGGAGTGGGTCAGACCCTCTAGAACTGGACATAACAGATAGTCTGAGTCACCATGTGGGTGCTGGGAATGGAACCCAAGTCCTTCAGAAGAGCAGTCAATGCTCTTCATGACTGAGCCACCTCTCCAGTTCCCCGATTTTTCTTTGAATATTTTCATTTTATTTAACACATGCATTTTCTCTGTAACAGCCTTCCCCTCCCTCTACTCCTTGTGCGAGGAATTGAATCCACACTATAACCTTTCTATGCTTAGGAGTAATAGTAAATCAGCAGTATAGTTGAGGGGGTATCTTACCCAGAGTAATCACCAACTTTTTAAAAAGCACAAAAAATGCATTATATATGGCACCAAGTAGACTGAAAAAAAGCTGCTTGTTTGTGATATAAGAGCTGAAACAGTGCAGCTGGCAGAATGCATTTTTGGGTTACTCAAATCTTTCATGTGTCTTGTGCATGTTAGCAAAGTGTTTTGCCTGTAATGCATGCTTGTGTACCATCTGCACACTGCCTGCAGAGGCCAGAAAGCATCAGATCTCCTGAGACTGGAGATATAGATGGTTATAAGCCTCCATTTAGGGGCTGGGAACTAAACTTAGGTTCTCTCCAAGGGCAGCATGTGCTCTTAACTGCTAAGCAGACTACTTAACTGCTTCTAACTCCACACAGAATGCAGAAGCAACAACATTGCATACCTCTTTCTTGTCTTCTTCTTGATCCACTCCAGACTGGAATGCCAGCAGAGCTTGGTATTCAGTGCTCGGTCCCGACCGATACTCCTCAGACACCCGCTATAAAGTTCAATTTACAGAAAGTGACAAAATGGCCAAAATTTTTTTGAATCCTTTTGACATGTCTGTCTACTGACTCTTCCTGTAACGGGTATAGCATAGAAGAAACTGAGGCTCATCACCTACTGTATCTTCTAGATAAGTCATGTTCTTTTATGTCAAATAATAATTTTTACTTTTAAAAAGAAAAAAGTTTAAAATTCTTTATTTTAAAAGTTATTTATCTTTAGTACTAGAGGCAGGACTAAGAACTAGACTGCTCCCAGCAACAGGATTTTTTTTGGAGGTGATAAAAATGTTCTTATATTGACTGTAAGGTTTGCCAACTCTGTAAATATTCACAAAAAAACTGAAATGTACATTTGGCTAATCCTTATTATCTGTAGTTACTGTCATATGTACAAACTTGCCTACCCATTCAAACCTGTATGTAACCCCAGCACTCACAGTGCTTATGGAGTCCTTGGCAGACATGCAGAGACATGAAAGATCTGAGTAACAAAAACGCATGATGCCAGCTGGGATTCTCTCCCATATCATAAACACACATCCTTTCTGCAATCTACTCAGTAACAAATTTGATGTGGTTTTGTACTTTTTGTTGGTGATTTCTCTGGTTAAGATGATATATATTACCACTTCCAAGCATAGAAAAGTTGTGGTGTGGATTTAATTACTAGCACAAGGCCCACATGCGTGCATGTGGGGGTGGGGGTTGGGGTTATTGTAGCAATATACCTTATAGAGAAAATACATGTTAAGGGATCAACCACATATATTTTCTTTTTGTGGTGCTGGGGATGAAGCCTGAGAGCTGTGCATGTAAAGCAAAGCAAACACTCTACTGCTGAGTTATATCTCCAGCCCAGACCATGTAAACTAAATCAGGACCTTACACAAAAATATCTAAAACAAATATAATATGTATATTAACTAAACGACTATTAATAAGCCCTGATACATATGGTCAAATGCTCTAAATGAGGAAACCAAGACCACTCAGTGGGGAAAAGAGATAGTCTCTTCAACAAATAGTACTGGGAAAATGGCTATTCATATGCAAAAAAAATGTCAGCCCTCAGCATATACATCTACAAAAACTAACTCCACATGAATCAGATCAAGAGACATAAACATAAGGAAGCAAACTATAGAATGCCTAGAAGAGGGGAAAGCTATTTAACACTAGATCTGGCAATTTCTTGAATATGACACTAAAAGTATAGGAAATATTTAAAAAATGAATTGGACCATATTAATACTTGCATTCAAATGAACACTCTCAGAGTAAAAAGGTAACACAGGAAATGGGAGAAATCTTCAAGTCTGTTGTGTCTAGAATATGAAATATCCTCCCATATGTTCATATACTATTCCCCAGCTGTTGTGCTATTTTGGTAGGCTCTGAAACGTTTATGAGGTAGGGCCTCCTTGGAGGAAGTAGCCCACTGGCAGTGTGATTTTCAAGGCTTACTGGGTCTCCAGTTCCTTCCTCTTTCTGTCTACCATGACTTGAACACCCCTTCCACTTATTTTTGCCACAGTGATGTTCTTCCCTTCTAGGACCAAGCAACCATGAATGAATCTTTCAAAATCATAAACCAAAATAACCCTTTCCCCCTTTAAGTTATTATCCCAGAGAACAGAAGTACTATAGGCACAGAGCTGACAGGTCAGGTGTGTCACTCACACACTGGGAATCTGTTAACTGAAACTGAATGGGTTAACTCACTGTTTCTGTTTTGCCTTTCTACCTTACAAGTCACTTTCCAAATAATTAACATTGAAGTCAGCTTTGCCTAAAAAGAGAAATAAGGGAAAACGCCCAAGAAAGTTGCTGGCAGGATGACTTCCTATTTATTAGCATTACGTTTACAGGAACCAGGAATGCCTGGTATTCCTGGTGACCCATGAAAGCATCAAAACCATGTCAATACAATTACAACAAGAATTAATAGCCAGGCTAGGGGTAGAGCCCCACAGTAGAACACTTGCCCAGCATGCATGAGGACCTGGTTTCCCAGCACAAACACACAAAAGCATTAATCATCAAGCCAGTGCTCACCTGACTATAGTAGCTATAGTTAAACTCCCAGAACCAACACAACTTTCTAGACTGTAACCTCTGACAAGACAGAACCTGGGTCTGAAAGCTTCCATCTCCCACTTGCTAGCTTGTTACCAATAAAGCTTTCTCCCATCACTGTCTCTCTAGCTATTGCCTTCAGCAGCAGCAGGAGACATCTCACTGTTATAATCTCCTCTGTTATAATGTCCATCAATGGGTGAATAAACGAACAAAATGCAACACACACACACACACACACACACACACAAATATTATTGAAGATTTTAAAGTACTATGCAGTTAGGCAAAGCAGGACAGTCACAAGAGGACAAACACTATAGGAAACCACATTATGAGGTACTTAAAAGCAATCAGATGCAGACTGGGAGCACAGTGGAGGAGGAGGGAGTGAGGGGCTTTTATTTAATTGGTATAAAGCTCCAGATATGGTTTCAGATTTGTCAGGTTAGGAAAAGTTAAATGACAGATGGGTAATAGGCTGCATAATAATGTGAAAGGACTTAGGCCACTGGAGGGTATGTTTGAAAATGTTCAAAGTAAGCTGAGTGAGTGGTGGTGCCCTATACCTATAACCCTAATACTTGGAGACTGAGGCAAGATTTCATGTCCAAGGCCAATCTAGGATATATATGGAGACTCTGTTTCAAAATTTCAAAAATATATTCATATTATAGATAAAATGTTTTAAATGGTAAATTTTATATTTATCACAACTTAAAAACATTTAAACATTAGTTGTGGGGAAGGGGCAGACTATCATGCCACAGAGCATGTGTGGAGGTCAGAGGACAACATTCAGAAGTTAGTTCTTTCCTTCCACCACCCAGGTCCCAAGATCCAACTCAGGGAGATCACAGGCTTGGTAGCAAAATACCCTTAACTTCTGAGCCATCTCACCAACCCTTTACAAGTTTTTAAATGTATCTACATTCAGATGTACATAAATGCTTATAAGACAACCACAAAAATGCAAATATTAACATGATTAACACTGGAGAGAGAATTAGAATTTTAGAATTAGGACTTCAAGGAAGGGCTTTAATAGGGGACTTTCATGTTTTTTCTGTATACGTTTTGTTTTTGTGGGATCTGAGAGAGGGTTAGTTCCATGTGTTCACAGTGGCCTCAAACTTGCTATGTTTGCAGCAGAGGATGACCTTGCCTACACTTTTCCAGTGTCAGAGCTACAGGTCAAACCATGGGCTTTTACATGTACTAATCAATCAAGTATCCTACTAACACCAAATTTCTAGTGTTTAAAGGGTCTACAAGAATTTACCCATGTATTACATTTATATATCCCAACATTTTGTTTTAAAAATTTTACAAGGTTTGCATCACTCATAACAAGAAACACAGACTGGTTTTGGCTTAGTCTCAGGAGTGTCAGCCTGTGTTCGTGTGGCTGCATTGTTTCTGGGACCATGTATTTGTAAAACAGATCATCATGGCTGGAGCATGCAGTAGAGCAAACTGATACACTTCACAGTGAATAGGAAGAACCAGAGTAAGCCAGGCAGAGGCTGGGAGCAAGGCACATCCTTCCAAGACACACTCAGTGATGCTCTTCTACACTAGACCCTACCTCCTAATAGCCCATTTATGAGGTCAGTATCTTCCCGATCCAATCAGTTCTCAACAACACTCCCATGGGGACCCAGCCTTCAGATGAGCCTTTGGGGACATTTTACACCTAAATCCTAACAGAAAGAAAGAATCAACGAAGGAGAAGGGGAGACTATCCAGACCAAGGAAAAAGCAAATGCAAAAGACCCAACTCAGAAAAGAGTCTCCCGCTTCAGACTATCAGTGACAATGCTGAATGACAGTACTCCCTTAAGGCAACCTTACAGGCCAAACTAAAAGTCCCGAGAGCAGCAGTTCAGTCCTGAAGCCTTGGCCATGGCCTGCTTTCTGCCCTTCTCCTTCAGATTGTTATGACACCCTTAATGAGGCCACGAGGAAATGTCTTGATTTCTTCCAAGCACCCTAACACTACTAGTTACCTAGAACCTTTGATTCTAAAATACATGAAACCCCAAACAGAAACCATTTGAGAGTAGTAGAATTTTAGAGGGACTACATGAGACAGCCGATGAGCCATAAGAAATCTTAATACCCCACAACTTTGTGACGTTTCTTGAAACATTAGAGATCTTAATTCAATATCCCCAAACTCTGGCCAACACTACCCAAATAAGTTCCAGCATAAGCTCTGAAATAAAATAATCTTCATAGAAATTTCTTGTTTTGTTGGATTTTTGAGACAGGTTTTCTCTGTGTAGTCTTGGCTGTCCTGGAATGTAAACCAGGCTGGCCTTGAACTGACAGAGATCCACCTGCCTCTGCCTCCCAAGTGCTGGGGTTAAAGGTGTGCACCACTACCTCCAGGCTGCAACATAGTTTTTAATCAGCCTCCCTGCTTTTAGGTTAAAGGTATCAGTAATAGCACACATACCTGTCGTCTGCTGCATGTGCCACTCTGTTGTCTGGGTAGAATATGTTCACAACCACCAAGGTACAAATTCTCTTGCCACCTTTTAGCTGTATTAGCAGATGGCTGCTGCCTAAAATGTAAGCTCTAAAACACACATCAATTTATGTAAATGGTGATGTAATGTGAAAATACTACAGGCTTAAGTAATAGCCCCAGGTAATCTAAATAAACCAGAGTATTCTCTGTAGAAACATTTCTTGTTAATACCAATCTTAATTAATACCATCTACAAAACAACCTTAAATTTTACAAAACAAGGATCATGTCAGTATCTATCTCCCAGGTTATTGTGAGAATTCAGTACGATGCATACAAGCTTCTAAAACCATTTTGTCTATTATTAATACTTCATGAAAGGAAGCTATCATTTTAAAATGTTAGTATTAATAAAGATAATGACATTAATGTCTTTGTTAGTAATATAACTCTAAAAGGCCCAGCCCAACTCCTAACTTACTAAACTCCTATTAAACTTACTAAACTACATTCTACCTGCTTGCTGGCAGAGCCTGAATCCTGGATTTCGTGTAAACCACATCTGTAGCACTCTGGATATAACTCCCTTCTCCATCTTTCATCTATCATATCACATGATATCTGTTCACAGCTCCTGTACTAAAAAAACAACATAAATATTAATATAAATTGCCAAAGCAGGAGGATAACATCTACAGCAGCAATTAAGGCTTACGATGAAAACTGAAGTAGTTTTTAATTGGAATGGGAAACAGAGCAAAAGAACAGTCTGTTTCTGTTCTTCGCCCGTTATTGACCTTAACACTACATGCCTCAAGCCATTACTGTACTGCCTGTCAAGTCTCAGGCCCAAATCTAAGCAATTTGTTCTTTGCAGTATATTCTTCACTACATTCATCTCTTCTTATTGTTCTAGACAGGCTAGCTCTCAAAACTGTGCTAAGCATGTGGGACAGCCCTCTTGCAATCCTCCACTTCGCCCAAGATAAAATCCTTCTGATACACTTGATCAAAAGGAACTATAAAACCATGTCAACAGAAATGATGGGCTCATTATAATACAGAAGAAAATTCTAGAGTCATAACAGAACAGAGGGTGTGTGTGTGTGTATATCTCATTAAAAAATTCCAAACATACAATGAAGTAAGAATAAAACAGTATAATGAATCCCTTATGGTCCCCTTACTAGCAACCTTCACTTTTTTTCACTTATATCTTCTCCAACTTTTCAAACAATTTACTTTTTAAGTGTAAGTGTTTTGAATGTGTGCCGGTGCCTGGAGAAGTCAGAAGGGGACAATAGATATCTTGGAACTGGAGCTAAAGAAGGTTGTGAACCACAGTGTGGGTGCTGGAAATTGAACCTGATTCCTCTGGAAGAGAGCCAGTGCTCTTAACCAATCAGCCATCTTTCTAGTACCTTCTCCAATTTTTTACAGGAATATTTTAAAGTTAATCACAGGTTATTTTAGCACATTTCAAAACACCTAGACATTTTCCTCTTAGTCATAAGTTTATGTATTTCATATACAAGCTAGCTTAATAAATCCTGATTGAAGCAATGGTCTCAATCTATAAGCACCCTCTACCTGTTCTCTACAGGAGACCTGGTCCTGGACCTGAGAAGGAGCATGCTGATGACACTCCAGAGGTAACTCCTCATCCTCTCTCTTGCCTTTCATGAAAGGTGAGGGCTGCTTGAGAAACATGTCCTAAAAGACAACAGAAAACAGTAATAACGGCAATAATATAATCATATAATAATCGTCAAGCAGCCAGGGTTAACAAGCTAGTCAATCCTGCAGGCTTCAGGGAGAACTCCACGGAAATCTTGATGCTCTGGAGCCAGTAACAATGCTACACCTTTAATCCAACTCTACAGACTTCAACTCTTAATCCTAAATCGCACACAAGAGTCTAACAAACTAACCAAACCTTAAAATGGCTTAAGATGTACTACCATTTCTTACACTCTTCATGTTGGTGATAATATGGTGAGATTCAGCACTAGAGAATAATCCTGGTCAATTAAAACAGACTTACTTTTGAATGGGAGAATTTATATGACTTACAGTTTACTAAAACAGGGTCATTTGTACCATTAGAACAAAAAAAGGAAAGAGGAAGAATTGAATTGTTAAGGGTTTACACTCTGTGTTCATGCCATGCTAATAGGACTCAGAGTAGGCCCCACTAATACCACTCTGCCCTACCTGGTCTCTGATAAAATCTTGGACTTGTGATCTGGTACCACTGATAACTTGCCAGAGAAAGGATTTCTCTCCTTTCCCATCTGTCTTATCAGAGAATGAATCCTTAGAAGTTTAGTTCCTAAAAGAAAAGAATTATTCACCAGGAATGGTATGATAGAAATAATAGTTAAGTCTTTGGTGAGAACCTCAGGGTAATTTTTAAATTCAGAGTAATATGAAATATAATGGCAGGAGGCCATGCTTTCTCAGTTCTCAAGTTCAGCTGAGTCTTTGCAAGACCCAAACTAAAGCCCAAACAGTTCAATTTCTGCCAATCTCTGTCCTTCCTCTGCTCAACCTTGCTCCTGATGGAGACCTGATAGTGCCCACAGAGATCTTGACAGACATCAGAGGAAGTGCTTCTATCTCTGTCTACTCCTCAGAGTTGATTCTGGCTTCACCACATTTGCTTTAAAAAGAACAAGCACAATGGATTGGTTGCTTAGTTAAGAATAACTGGCTGGCTTACACTGTCAGCTTGGTCGAGAATTTGGCCAGCTATAACCCTAAAACTGTTCTCTCTGCACAGCCCCTTCTTCCTCTGGCTTTAAATGGTCCCTAGCAGAGAACTGGCCTGGAATCTATGTTGAAAGATACAGTTGGGTACTTGTGGACCATGACTCTTTCCACCTTCCAACTGCTAAAACAGATGAGGGCTGCCAGAAATATTTATCCTAATAAGAATTATTTTTTATACATAAATCTCCCAGATACAGGAAATATACTGCTGACATTGCTTTAACATTTTGTAGGAACCTGGAAGAGTTTTGAAAATCAATCAGGAAACTGTTGTTTCTAGCTAGGAATCCCCAAATCAACAGAAGAAGAATCTTTGCAGTTTCTATTGCAAACAAAAAGTCACTTATGTCTTGTTATATCCCCCTTCCTGCACTATTTACCTGATTTTGGAGTGGTAGATCCTGCTCCTGACATTTGTGTAGATTATTCTGGTCTTTAGGAAGAACATGCAGATCTTTTTGGTCCTGATATATAGGTAAAATATACTGGTGTCTGGGCAGGAGATACTGTTCTTTAGGTGAGAGCTCCTGGTTCTGACATTTGAGTGGATGACTCTGTTCTTCGGGTAAAGCAAGCTGGTTTCCAGGTGGAAATTCCTGTTCTTCTGGCAGAAAATGCTGCTCCTGACATTTCGGTAGAACATTCCAGTATTTATTGAGAACATGGTAGTCTTCGAGTAGAGAGTCCTGCTCTTGACATTTGGGCAGAAAATCCTGGTCTCTGGATAGAAAGGCCTGATTTGGGGGTAGAAAATCCTGGGCTTCCAACTCAATATTCCCATCTAGCTCAACAGACTGGGCTTTAAGAATGTCCTGAATTTCTGTCCTAAGAGCCTGGCCTTCTGGTTCTGCGGTCTCAAACTCAGTTCCAGTGGTCTGGGTGATTGGTTCAACATCTAGAGCTTTAGGTTCAATATTCAAAGCTTTGGGTTCAACATTAAGGCCATCGATTACATCACTCTGGGATTCTGGACAGTTGCCTTGAACTTCTACAAAATAATCCTGGGATTCTGGAAGAATAGCCTGAAGGCTATGAAGATTTAATTGTTTTTCTTCATCTTCTTTTATCACAACAAATAATGGATTTTTGAATTTTACTTTCTAAAAGGAAATATAAATAACAAACACAGACTGTTAGGTGGTAACAAAATCTAGATTTTTCCATAAGAATCCTAAGATAGTCTTAAATGATATCAAAATTAAACAAAACTAGAAGAGTGAAACCTTAATATTTGTTCAATTTTAAAATAAACTAAGTAAACAATCCTAAATCCACTATAAATCCCTAATTAAAGTCACTTAAAAAAAAAAAAAAAAAAAAACACTTTTTTTTTTTGCATTACTGGTAACTAAACCAAGGCTTCATGCATGTAGACAAACACTCTACCACTGGGGTACATACTCAATTCTCTTTTTATTTTGGGATAAGTTCTCACAAAATTGTTCAGACTGCTCTTGAACTCATGCTGTATCCAAGATGCTAAGATTACAGATCTATCACCCCAGACCATAACTTTACTTTTATGGCTTTACCTGAACTTTGCTGAGAGCCTTTTCTTTGCCTTCAGAAAGGAGATCTTGCTGGTAACCCACCAACAAATCCCTCTCCTTCTCACCTGTCACAATAGATGTAATTTCCCCACAGTCAAGGTCCTAAAGAAAAAAGCAAACATTAAAAACAACAACAACAAAAAGCCCACTAAATGTAGGTATTACAAGTAGAAACCATATGTTTACAAGAAAACTTCAGAATAATAAAACTTCAGATACCACAAAAAAGTCTAGCAGATTAAAATGTAATTGAATATTTATACAGTACAAGGCTGTCCACTTAAAACTATAAAACACTATTAAAAGAAATTAAAAATCTAAATACATGAAAAGATATCCCATATTCAAATTGGGAAGCAATATTGTTCTTTGACAATTGCTGGATTTGGTGGGCAATCTGTAGTTCCAGAGCTTTGAAGGTAGAAACAAAAGTCCATTAGTTGAGACCAGTCTGGGCTAAAACCTTATGAATACATACACACACACTTAAAATACATACTGGTCACATTTTCAACACTGTAGCTCACAAGTGGATCCACAGACTCAAGAATTTTGATTGAATGCCAGCTGGTTTAAAAGTGAACCACAAACAAACAACACCAAAAAAAAAAAAAAAAACCTCCCAAAACCCAAAAAACCTGAATTAACAAGCAAATTATACAGACACACAGAATGCTAGAAAGATGAAGGATAAGAAACAAACCCTCACATTTATAATGAACTGACATCTGACAAGGACAAGGAATAACTTTTTAATATATGATATTAAGGGTCAGGCAGTGGTGGTGCATGCATACCTTTAATCCCAGCACTTGGGAGGCAGAGGCAGGTGGATCTCTGTGAGTTCAAGGCCAGCCTGATCTACAGAGCTTGTTCCAGGACAGCCTCCAAAGCTACCCAGAGAAACCCTGTCTTTAAAAAAAAAAAAAAAAATTATATTAAGATAACTGGGTATCAACAGAAACAAGAATGAAGTGGACCTCTTCTTCAATTCACTCATGACAATCAACTAAAGATGCATATAGACCTCCAAGTAAGAGCTAAAATCACAATATACTTAGAAGACCTAGGAATAAAAGTTCATGACCCCATGTAATCAACGGCTAATAGATACAACACTAAAAGTGCAAACAACAAAAGACAACAATAAATTAAACCATTCCAAAACTAAAATTTAGGGACTACAAATGATGTTATTAATAAAGTGAAATGATAGTCTACAGAATGAGAGAAGTTCACATTTGTCTGTCGTCTAATAAGAGGAATATATTCTCAACATAAAAGGAACACTTAAACCCTTATAATAAAAAGATGATTTAATTAAAAATTTTCAATAGACATTTTCTTCACAAGAGATACAAATGGGCAATAAACATCTGTAGCTACATATCTCTACCCGATTTTCCATAAAGTTCTGGTAATGTTCTGTAGTTAAAGGGCCTTCATGGATCTTACTGGAGGGTTCTTCTCTTGTTTCTTTATTTATATTGATGCATGCAGGTTTCCTAAAAAGTGCTTTCTGGGGAAGTAAAACAAGCCAACCCATATATCAGTAGTCTAGGGAAAGTGATATCCTCATGATACTCAATCTTTATTAATCATCTAGAACAATCTTAGTAGCTTAGAATAAAGGAAAACAATTATTATTTTTACTTTGACCATACAAATAGGTCACATGTCAACATGTGGAATAAAATACACAGGAAAAATTATAAACTTTAGAAATGACAACTTGCAGTTATTCTAGCTACTAATGATTACAGAAGACATAATTTCAGTCTTCGCAACCTGACAAGGGTCAAACAAGAACATGTATTTGTATCTCAAATTTTGAATGACAGTAACAATTAGATTGGGTGTAATACCACTACAGTCTAATAAGAAAATGAAGGCAGAATTTAACCCAGTTACAATGTAGTTCCTTCTGATTGGTAGTTTCTGTTTCACACATAAGTAAAAGTAGAACACAGATCAGATATAAGTAAAAGTGTAAGAAAAGTTTCACGCTGGGTGATGGTGGCACACACATTTAATCCCAACACTTGGGAGGCAGGGATAGGCGGATCTATGTGAGTTCAAGGCCAGCCTGGTCTGTCTACCCAGCTACACAGAGAAACCCTGTCTCAAAAAAAACAGGGAAAAAAAAAAAAAAAAAAAAAAGCAAGAAAAGAAAAATAAAGAAAAAAAAGTTTCACTAATTTCATAGAGTATTCACAGTTATGTGGAGTGGATCTATTTCTATTCTTTTTTCTGGAAAAAGGTCATGGCATTCTCTGGAAATAAGCAGCAAGTTTGAACTCATTATCGTTATAATAATAAAATTACACTCATATGGCACCTCTGACGTATAAAACTGGTTGTACAAGGATGTTATCTCAGGATTAATTCTCTCTTCTACAGGATTAATTATCTTAGTTAGATCAGTGAACAATGTTTTCTCTGGAAAAACAACAATTGAAAGGCCTGAGTGTATTCCAAACAATGTAAAACATTAGTCTCTAAGAACTAACTTTTTCCTGGCTTATTAAGTATCCAGTCCTTTTTCTAATAGTTCCTGCCAGGGACTCTAATAGTCCAAATCCATGGCAGGTTTGAGAATAGGTATTTCAAAAGCCACAACAGGATACTAGGAAAAGACAACCATATGATTATATCTAAGACTGATGCTCACTTGCTTTTTAAACTTAATTTATAAATTTTTAATTAGTACTGAAGAGAGAGATAGTCATAGTTTAGTATCCAGCCAATACCAACACAGAGACAGATGCCTTTGATGGCTGTGTTGAGACACTTAGGGAAAACAACCCACCTATGGGTGGCAGTCCCATAAGACTGTCACCTAATAAATGATGCTGTAGCCTTTGTATAAGTCTGCACTATGATCAAATAGCAACACAACACACTTCCCTGAATGTCCTGCTATAGTTAAGCAACACACAATGTGTATGTTCCACGCCATATGCCAAGCAGGTACTGAAACGGGCAAAGAATTGAGAGATAGTTAATGGAAGAAACACACCAAAAAGCCTAGGTAAAGGTCTATTTTACTAGACACTGTCACCAAAACTCGGAAGTTAATGCCAAAATTGAGCAAACACATGAAAACACAAGAATTCAGCATCCAAACAAGTAAAATGGGAGAGAAATAGGACATCTAAACAATGTCATTTTATAGGCTTAAACACTTTTAAGCCTTGGTCAACACTTAGTTTCTAATTCTTTTTTCTAAACTTAAGTTTAGAATTAAATTAATTCCTTTCTTAAACATAGTACTTACGTCAAGCAATGGTGGCAAACACCTTTAATTCCAGACTTTAGGAGGCAGGGGCAGGCAGACCTCTGTGTGTACAAGACCAGCCTGGTCTACAGAGCGAGTTCCAGGACAGCCAGGGCTGTACAGAGAAATGCTGTTGCACAAAAACCAAAGAAACAAAAAATCCAAATGTTAACATTTTGATAAAAATAATGACAGAGATCCCTCAGGGAGCTTTTGTGATAGTAGGGAAGTATATAATAAACAAGTAAATAGTGAGGCTCTGAAATGAGAAATGTGATAAAGAAAAATGAGACAGACAAACATTTGGATGGCTGTTAATACTGGTTTTCCTTTCCAGTATTGCTGGGAATCAAATCCAGGGCCTCACAGTTTTGTATAATATTATAGATAACTTTAATTTCTTTTCCTTCTTCTTAAAATTTTTGTAATATATGTTTTACTTTCTAATAAGAAAACAGTGAATACTATTGTTTTGTTTTTCAAGACAGGGTTTCTCTGTGTAGCCCTGGCTGTCCTGGAATTCACTCTGTAGACCACGCTGGCCTCGAACTCAGATGTAGCTGACTCTGCCTCCCAGGTGCTGGAATTAAAGGCATGTTAAATAAATACATATATTTTTAAAATTAAGATTATACCATATGTAATTTTATATCCTACTTTTTTTCAGTTAAAAGTTTTCTCTGGTCTTCAGATATTATTTGAAGATATGATTTTTTAAAGGAATGGCTGTGTTTAGATATATCTTAATTTACTCATTAAAGGGATAGTGAAGATTATTTCAATTATTTTGCATTTCTAAATTATGTTAATATAAAAAATAAATTCTTAGCTATATTTTCACATACTTTTGAAAACAACATATTGGAAATTATTTTACCTCTTGGGTAGGAGAGCTTTTGCTTCTACCATTCAGAAACTCTGATGTCTTTTTTCCACTCACAGTTTTAAAGGATGCCAGCTGGTGACGTGCCTGTTTCATAGTTTGACTAAGCTGCCAGGAAAGGTAGAGAAAAGAAAACAAAAACAGGTTAAAGTCTTAATACCAAAGGCACTGAGCGTCCCAACAGGAAGACAGATCTCTATTTTTAAAATATGCCAGACTCGGGACAAGAGGATTACTTGCAAGGGAGACTTTGGTCTACTGGCAGTGCTTTATACTATTGCTGTCATTGTTCTGAGATAAAACGGGGTAACTTCGTGACTTGATTTAAGTTCTATTAAGCAAATCTACTGAAAATGATATATACCTTTTATACATAAAATATTAGAAAATAAAAACCTAAATATACTTACAAATTATTGAGTAAATACATTTCCTCTACTCATCTTGCACATAAGTGTTCATTACTCCTTGCTATTTGATTCCACACCTAGTTCCCCTAAAACTTTTATTTTCTTATTTACATGAACCTTAACCTACCCTATTTGAAAACTAACACTAGCCTTTTTTCCTTTTCCCCCAGAAAGTCTTCCTAAGTATCCTAGTTTCATTTCTGTTGCTGTGATAAAAACACCCTGAAAAAGGCAGTTCAGGGGTTAGGGGCAAAGTGATTTATTCCAGGTTGCAGTCTATCATTGTAGGGAAGTCAAGGCCCAGTCAGCAACAGAAAGAAGTGAATGCACACTTGCTCTCTTGGTTCCTTGCATGTAGTAGCCTGATTTCTCCATCCGTGTTACAGTTCAGGACCCAATAACTAGAGAATGGTACTGCCCACAGTGGGCTGGGCCTTCCCAATCATGAACTTAATCGAAACAACCCTCCACACACATACCTCCGGCCAACCTGAAGCAAACAATACTTCATTGAGACTCTCTACCCAGGTGACTCTGGATTATGTCAAGCTGACAATAAGTTAATGTAGAATGCAAACACTGTATAAGAAAAGCAATTTTCTAAGTTTCTAATAATTTTCAATTATTCTAAGAAACAACTGATATGTGACTATCAAATGACTTTATATTCACCCCTTACCCTAATGATTTTAATACATAACGATTTTCCTTTTCCAGTAGCACAACCCATTTTATATCTTTCAAATCTTCAAAGAATGTCCACTTAGAAAAAAGAAAAAAAAAACCCTATTTACCTTTTTATTATAGGATAAGCATCAAGTAAAGGACAAACATCTCCACACTAATTAAAGAAAATATAGGAATGCTAGGAATACTTCTAACTCACCATTAAAATGCTAACAGTGTCAGATCTTCCTTGAAGAAAAGTATGACTTAGCAATATAATAATTGATATTATGTAATTTTCACTAATGAGGTAATGACTTAAAACACACACACACACACACACACACACACACACACACACAAATGTTCTCTCCTTAGTCCTTGCTTCTAGAGCTCTATACTTCTACCAAGGTAAAATAGTTTGAAACATTACTCATTGTTCTACCAAAAGGAAGACTTCTGGATCCGCTGCAGAGTGGCTACAGAAATCAAGACGGTTACTCATACTACAAAAAGACATTCTTTGCAGCTGGAGTTAAACAATGTATAGCGAGCCATATGCTGCTGTACCCATTGTCAAGTAGAATAGGTTTCAATTACCTATACCATAAGGCTAAAGATTCAAAGGTCTGTTGTAGTCTACTGTAACGCATTTAAAAACAGGTGTCAGAATCTTCATTTCCCATCAGTTATTAATTTCTATTAGAATCCAAGTCATAAGCAGGTTTTCAACTGGTCCAGCAGCCAGAAAAAAAGCACTGTGTTCTGTTTCTCTTTCATTACCCTAACTCTTTGCCAAACCTCAACCCTGTGAAAGCCTTTTCAATGACAAGAACTATAGCGGTCTGAATACTGGCCAACCAAAAATACTAGATCCTAAGCCCTGGAACTCTAAATGAACACTTTATAAGCCAAAGGAACCCTTGCTGATGTGCTTATGAGTACTAATATATGGAAACAATCTCAGATTATCCAAATGGGCACTAACTGCCCCCACAAGTGTTCTTGTAAGAGAACAGTAGAGGGATGTTCAGTAGAGAAGAGAAGATAATGTGGAGATGCAGGACCAAGGTTCACAGGATGTAGCTACAAGGAAAGGAATGACAACAGATAAACATCAAAAGCTAGAAAGGTCAAGGAACATGTTCTTCTAAAATCTACAGGAAGGTGGCCCTGCTCATACCTTGGTTAGGTGCCATGAAAATCAGTTTAGATGTCTAGCCTCTAAAACCCTCAGCAAATACATCTTTAATACTTTAGCCATTTAAGTTGGGTAATCTGGATGTACTGGCATATACCTATTATAATCATAGAACTTGGGATGCTGAGGCAGGAACATGAGCACAAGGCCAGCCTACACAGTGAGTTTAAAACTGTTCTGGGCTACTGAGTGAGACAAAACAAAAAAAAAAAAAAGTTGAGGTAATATGTTAGAGCAGCCATAAAAAAATGTAACTCATAAAAGGACCAAAGTTAATATTCATAACACAAAAACACAGAAAATAGCTATTACTGGTATAAAATTATTTGATAATTAAAAGAAACTAGTATAAAAAGCAGTTGTATGTAAGATAATGGTGACCACTGTGTATATGTGTTCTTATATGTGTATGTTTGGAAGTATACTCAGAATACAAAATTTAATAGTGTCTTTCTTAAACAAAACCAGACACACAATTCAACCTTTTACAGCTATTATTATTAACAGACTAGCACTGAATGATTAGCCAACTTAAGCTTTTTTGATGGAGTTGGTTGTAGTGGCTCATGCCTGCAATCCCAACAATTGAGAGTGTCAGGCAGGAGGATTATTGCAATTTCAAGGCCAGACTCAGCTAAGTAGTAAGTTCCAGGACAGCTTCAGTTAAAGAGTAAGACTGCCTCAAAACATACAAATGGGCTATGTATGAAACAGCTTAGCAACTAGGACCATATATCGTTCTTCCAAAGGACCTGAGTTCAGTCCCCATGTAGGACGACTTAACAACTGCCTTAACTTTAGCTCCAAAGGATTTGATGCCCTCTTCTGGCTTCCATGAGCCCTATCCTGCAACACAAATATCAGTACAAATAAAAGTAATAATTTAAAAAACAATTCCATAGTGGAGATGAAAACTTCACAACTGTACAGAAAACCCATCAAATTAGAAAAAGAATCAATGTAACTCCAGATTTATAAAAAATTGCAGTAACCACCTGGCTCAGCTGTGATTAATATTTATGACTCATTAATACCAATGCTGAGTCTCAATCAATAGTAATTATATAAAGAGACGGTAAGGATGGAAAAGTATGTGTGTAATGGCAAGACAGAAAGAAAAGTGAGCCAAATCCTCACCTTCCCTAATGGAACATCAGTTAAGAACCTCTGCCACATGCTTATATTGTGTAACAGTTTCTTCGGAGATTGAGACATTCCGCCCTCCACCCACTACCCACCTACCCACCAGGGAACTCTTTAAACAGGAAGACAACCCAAAAGAGCCTTAGGAAGTCCCTGAAACTGAGCAGATTCACTAGGCCCCCTCCCCGCCAGAGTAAGAGGCTGAGCACAGAAGCTAAGCTTCAGTGAAGACTCTCAAGAGAAAACTTGCAAAGCAGACTCAGACCAGACCAGCTGCCTGGGGGAGGTTTAGACCAAGTGAGATACCAGGGAAGGACACTCCAGCCCATGGAGCTGCCTGCAGGCTGTACACTGTGCTCCAGGGCCCCCAGCTGTAGAATCTAAGTCAGCATATCACAAAGACAGTTGCATACTCATTTTATTGCTGCACACTATTTACAATAGCCAAGAAAGGAGACCTGCATAAATGCTTATCAATGAATGAAGAATACATGTGATAGATATACACAAATGGAATTGTATTAATCCATAAAGACAAATAAAATAATGTCATTTGCTCATTAGTTGGAACTGGAGGTCATGTTAGATGAAATAAACCAGACTCAAATAAAAGTATTACCATGTTTTCTCTTATATACAGTTTTATCTTATATATAGCACGTGTGTGCTGTATATAAGAAAGAAAAGGTCTAAAGGAGAGAGAAGAACAAGTAGTAATGAGGAAAGGAACAAAACACCATACTTTCTCTTATAAAGAATCTAGGGGCAGGACAGTGGTGGCGCACACCTTTATCCTAGCACTTGGAAGGCAGAGGCAGGCATATCTCTGTGAGTTCAAGGCCACTCCAGTGAGCTCTGAAACAGCCAGGGCTACATAGAGAAACCCTGCCTTGAAAAACAAAAACATAACAACAACAAAAAGAATCTAGGTTTTAAAGAGCAAAAATGGGGCGAGAAAAAAAGAGGAAGGGGGGCTAGCAAAAGGGGGAAGGGTAAGAAACAGGAGACAGTAGTGGGAGAGGGCAATCAAGAGCAAGGTATAATGATATACATAAAAGTCTCATAACGAAATTAGTTATTTTGTATGCTAACTAAAAAGTTATTTTTTAAAACTAAGATAGCGAAATATTCAGTGAGAAACAGAAAGCTAAAATAAACCATGCTAGTACAAGAAACAGTGGTAAACTGCATGGTCTAAAGACAAATGTGTTATACGGTGAGAATGAAAATACGTTAAGATGTTTTTAACATGGAATCTAATGAAATACCAAGAGGCACCACAGAAAACAAGTCTTTACCAATGAGTATCAGCACTAACAAAAGGGCTGTGGCAGCCTAAAACTTCTTCCTGCTCAGTGGCTCTAGCTCCTTTGTTTAGGTTCGTCATCGTATCTGGCCTTTCAGCAGGTAGTGTTACTAGGTAAGAGGCTGGGTAGAAGCACAAAGAGAAAAACTAGCCCAATCATTTTTATCTAACTACAGTTAGTGTTCTCTCTCTCTCTCTCTCTCTCTCTCTCTCTCTCTCTCTCTCTCTCTCTCTCTCTCTCTCTGTGTGTGTGTGTGTGAGTGTGTGTGTGTGTGTGTGTGTGTGTGTGTGTGTGTGTGTGTGAATGCATGGAGGACTAGGGACAGCTTGTAGGAGTTGGTTCTCTCCTTCCATCATGTGGGTCCCAGTATCAAGCTCAGGTCTTTAGGCTTGGTGGCAAGCACCTTCACGTGTTTAAACACACAGCAGTGTCCCAAGTCATAGCTGAAATACAGAGGCAGAAGACAATCTGCACAGTTGGTTTCCTCATTTCCCTATGTGGATCCTTGAGATCGAACTCAGATCATTAGGCTTGGCAGCAAGTGTCTTCCCTCACTGAACCACTTGGCCCTCAAAATGTTAATTTACTACATCTTGACAAAAAAAAATTTTTTTTAGAATTATTTATTTAATGTGTTTGTGGGTTTTTGTGTTTTAGATTTATTCATCTTAATGTGAGTGCGTTCCCTTCAGAGGGCAGAAGAAGGCATCAAACTTTCTGGAACTGGAGTCACAGGCAGTTGTGAGCTGTCATGTGGACTCTGGGAATTGAATGTGGGTCCTTACCAGTGCTCTTAATCCATGAACCATCTCTCCAGCCTACTCCTAATTTTTTTTTAAGGGAAGTGTAATTAAGACCCTAAAATTCAACCATATAACCCAGACTTAGCATTAACTCCTGGCCAAACTTGTCTTACCTGTAACTCTCTACATCCTGTGGTTTGAATGTCAAATGCCCCATACCAGCTCACATGTTTGAACACCTGATCCTGACCTGGAGATGCTGTTTGAGAAAGTTGTGGAAACTTTAGGAGATGGAGCTGCGATGGAGAAAGCAGGTCACTGGGGTGAGCTTTGAGGTTCTGTAGCACAGCTGCACTTCCTCCAGACTCTGTTTCTTGAGTGCGGACACAGTATGTCCAGCCAGCCTCCTACTCCCTCCACCCCACCTCCCCTGTCAGCTGCCATGTCTTCCTAGCCACAATGGACTACATGCCCCTGGAACTCTAAGCTAAAATAAGCCCTTTCTCCCTTAAGTTGCTTTTGTCAAGGTATTTTATCATGGCAGGGCAAAGTGATTAAGTATATTCCAGATGTCAAATTATTTCATCTTAAATATCTCAACATCAATGAATTTTAAAAAACCCATTGCCAGCCACGACTGCCTCCCAGGACTCGGGAGGCAGAGGCAAGTGGCTCTCTGTAACAGCCAGGGCAGTTTCACAGAGAAGCCTTGTCTGGAGAAAAAAACAAAATAGAACAAAATGAAAATCAACCAGTGTCAGGGGTTGGTGAGACAGCTAGGCAGTTAAGAGCACTGACTGCCTTTCCAGAGGACACTAGTTCAAGGCTGAGCACCCAGCTCACAACCCTCTGTAACCCCAGTTCCAGGGGTTCCAATGCCCTCTTCTGGCCTCTGCAGACATTACACATGGTGCACAGACATGCATACAGGCAAAATACCCAATCACATAAAATAATAAAATAAAAAGTTAGGAAAAAACAACTGAAAATCCCAACCCCAGCATTCTATTTTTGTCCAGTTTAAATAAACTGAAAAGTTCACTAACATTCAGAAACCAAATTATGATGCCAGTATCTAATCAGTTCTAGGTAAAGTTAATGCTTCAACAATTTCATTGTCTAGTTTCATAATGACATCTAGTGGATTGAAAGTGCAACAGAAACAGTAAGAATAAAGACAACTGAAATCAGAGGGCTGTGTGGGCAAAGTTCACGGGACCAAATCAATAAGTCACCAAATGTCCTTTACTAAGTCAGCTTTTTTCAAGGAAAAAGAATGAAAAGATATACAAACTTTTAATCTTTCATAATACAAAGGCTATTTATAACCTGATTTCTTGCCTCACCTCATTTCTGTTATTTTCCTTTATTAACTATCAACTAGAAAGCCTCTCTTACTTATTCTAAAACAAACCAAGCACCTTTCACTGTTCCTATCTCAAAAAGTCTCTTGAATTTATCAATTCAATTAGCATATCAATTCCAAAGAATCAGTTCAATTCCATCTCTTGCATGAATTCTCTCTCTACTATTTCCTTAGAATTTTAAAATTTGGAATTCCCACAGCACAACTTTTTGGTCAAGTGCATCAAATATGTCTATGTTTATTAGCAGATTTGGGGTATAAGTGAATATATAGTATTATCTACCTAGAAATGTAAACCCATAGAGGGTCCTATTTCACAGATTAAAACACCCCCCTCATGACACACAACACAACAAATATAATGTGTTTGCTTGCATGCTGACTGATGTGTTCTAGCCATGCACTGTGTTCTACAGAAAAAAAATCCTTATTACAATGAGAGCTATACTTATAATCATGATGGCAAAGACTGGATCTGTCCTTCACTCTTCTATCTCTTATAATGTAACCAGTGTCTAGTTTAATAAAGTCTTCATTTTTTCTTTTTTATTAAGACAGAGTCTATGTAGCATCCAACTTTCTATTTTCCCAGCCTCCTGAAGGCCAACATTGTAAGTATGCATCACTCTATCTGACTCCTATTTATAAACCTTAAAAAGAAAATTAAATAATTATAAAAATGATTACTACAAATCACACAATGCCCCAAATAAAGAAAAAAGTTTGAGGCAAAAGAAATCTCAAAACAAAGTCTGAAGATGATAGAATGTGCCTTGTAAAGCTCTCTCTACTTATACATATAGCCCAATTTGATTATGACCAAGTACTGTATATGTGAGTAAAATCCTGAGTGAATGTGTGTTGTTGATATGAACACAGCCTTGTCAAGGACCCCAATGCCTTGGAAGTGGCAAAGTCTTCCCTGGGTGAGGTTCAGGGGGACGGCAAGTCTCTCGCTGCTCCATATGCAAATGTTGATAATGTTCAACATGGCTTTCTCCTCCTGGCCCAAAGACTATTCCCTTACAGAGATGGCTCCTGATATTGACTACATATGCCTCCTTGATCCAGCCCCATACCATATGCCCTGCTTCCTTGACTCAGCTGTATGCTATAATCTGCCTCACTGCTCAACTTCACAATAAATATGCTGAGCTTCCGGGATGCTGCAGCTTCTCCATCAGAGCACCCAATCCATTTGATCCTAGCTCTTCTGTACAAATGAGTCCCTACGCATTTGTCTTGCTGCCCCAGTTATGTCAATCCCTGAAGCTATGTAAGGACTCGGAAAAGTACATTAACTCGGGGTAAAATGCCTTTTATTTTCATGTGGTCATCATTTACCACATATATTTTTTTTTCTTTTCTTCTCACTATCTCTAAATGTGTGTTTTCAAATAGGCTAAAGAATAAGTAGAGGTAAACGACACATCAACAAAAGCTCGGATAACCAAGAAAGAAACTGACTGGATGGGGTATATGCTATTACTCACAATGCTTTCAATTTTAAGCATTAGATACATTTAAAAAGTCACTACAATTTTTTTCCAAGTATTCTGATAAGGTAAATAATTTACTATATTATTGCCTGACATATAGTGGATAATTTTATTGTGATAGTTTAAAAGAAAAAGGTAAACTAAAACAATAAATGAAATATTCTTTAGCTGCTTTGAATCCCTTAGCATCAAAGGTTAAGATCATTTCTGTCCATAGCTACTAACTGGCAATAGCATAAAAAGGACATAATTTAATATAATTGGGAATTCTATGTATTTTTACTTAAGACTCTTTCTAATAAATTTTGGATTCTAGACCGTTAATAGCTTTGTTTAGATAGTTCTACAATGTCTTATCAAAAACAAATTAATGTAAAGAAGATATTTATAAATAAGAAAGGTATGGTGGTTCATGTATATAACCCCAGCACTTGGGAGATAGAAGGAAGATAGTCTGGGCTCCACAGCAAGGCATTAATTATCAGCCAACCAATTCATAAATAAACAATTTTTGAAAAAGAAAGTAAACACTATCATACTAGTCCCTGGGGGGGGGGGAATGGCAATAAAAAAGTGAAGTTGGGACTGGGAAGATAGCTCCACAGGTAAAGAGCTTGCTGTGCAACTGCGAAGACTGGAGTTCAGATCCCCAGAACCCACTAAACAGCCAGGTAAGCTGGTGGTTTATGTATAAATCCCAGCATATGAGAGGCAGAGATAGGGAATGGGGCACCAGGCTCAGTGAGAGACCCCGCCTCAATAAACAAGATGGAAAGACAATTGATGCTAACCTCAAGTCCATGCATGTACACACACACCCATACATACATATACACCACACATACACACAAGTGAAATTAAGTATGTTAACTCCTGAGGGAAACTTTACAAATATAAAATGAAATGTACCTGTACTTACAGCTTGAGCTTGTTGTTCAAACAACCGATTCTGATTCTCTTCTCCGTCTTCTTCTGTTGCAACCCCAAGCACCTGCGAAGAGGGCAACATACAACTTCCCATAGCAGTGTTCGAATTGCTGGGGGAAACACTTGTCCTTTTAGGCGTTAAATGTGCTGAATTTGAACACTGCATGGCTATAGCGCCTTCCTTTTCTGCCTACACAAGGAAAAAGGAGGGAAAATGAGACTGTATTCCCATCTAGCACAAATAATTCCTTCTAGCAGCCGTAAGATTTTCAACCAGAACAATGGAGTGGGGGGCAGGAGGCCTTAGCTGACAGAGGAACTAACATTTACCAGGTACCTACCATGTGTTTATAATTTAACTAGACTATCCCACCTAGCTCTTCTACAATCCTGCAAGAGTAGGTATCATATCATATTGTGATGGTTAATTGTGGCTGTCAACTTGACTACCTTGGAATCAAGGAAAACCCAAGCAGCTGGGCACACCTGTGAGGATCTTCCTTGACTGGATGATTTGAGGTAGAAAGACCCATCCTAAACCTAGGTCACCTTCTGGCAGCAGCCTAAGTAAAAAGACATGGAAGAAGGAAGCTTTTGGGTTTTTTGTCTGCTTCCTCTCATTCTCATTGGCAAGTTCATCGTGTTGCTGAGGCACTCCTTCCCTAACTAGTATTAGAAGCTACTTCTTTGGGAGTTCAAAATAGACCAAAGAGTAGCAGCTCTCTAAGAATCTTCTGGGATTCCAGCACCAGATTGGGACTGCTGAGACATCCAGTTTCATGGATAAAATGACTACAGGATTCCTGCTTTCCATCAGAGAGAGCCACTGTTGAACTACTCAGACCATAGCCGGTGAGTTACTTCAATAAGTCTCCTTTATATTCCATTCCTTTATAGAGCCCTAATACACACATATTTACATAACACATACCATATAGATTTACATAAATCATACATATATGTATATATTGATTTATTTTTTGAGACAGGGTCTCATTATATAGTTCAGGTCTGGAACTCATGGCAATCCTCCTGCCTCAGCCTCCCAAGTACTAGGTATAAGCCACAATACTCAACATCTGTCTTATTTTATAGATAAAGAAACTATTACACAATCAGAAAAGTTAAGTAATTAACCCAAGGTCACATAGCTAGAAGGTGACAAAGAAGGAATTCAAATTTAAATCTGCACCCAAAATCCTGACATTCTTTTTCAGCTATTTAATGAAAGGAAAAAGGCAAGTCAGAACCACACAGGAATAAAAAGTTTCTCAACATGAAAACTGACTGTGCTCAGTAGAAAACTGGATTCTAACAACACGGAATCAAGAGAGAAATGATCTTGATACCGCCTCATAGCTTATCTCACAGCACACAAGCTTTCCATTCCAACCACCTCAACTTAGGAACTTACTGCTTTGCAAGACTTCTGAAGCTGTTGCTTTTTCCTCAGCTTAACTTGCTGATTTACCCGGTGCTTGACTTGTCTCTGAAAATGTTTCAAAGACTCTTGCTTTCTTCGTTGCTGCTCCTTTATTTCCTCTTCAATCATGTATGCTGAAGTCTTTAAAGAGAAAAGACAGAAAAAATGAACTTAAAAGTCATTGCCTTTGCCCACGAGGGATGTCATGAATGCAGAAAAGTTAGTATATAATTGTGAAGGACAAAAGTTTGGTTCTATAATCCAGTCTCCAGAGGAGCGAGAAAATCATAATTCAAAACCACTAATCTAAGTGTAGCTTAGTCCCAAGAACTCAAAGCAAGTCAGGAGCTTAAAAAAAAGAAATGGAATTTGTGAATGCTCATATCAAATCTTAATGCTTTATTCAACTAAAACCAAAGATGTCTCCATTAATTCTGAATGAACTCATCTTGACTCATTTGTGTTATGCTTCTAATATTAGTAATCAGTAGATATATTGTATTGCTCACCATTCACCACACATGTTCCCAATGTACAGTACCTTCATACTCAGAATTAGCCACCCCTTTCTTTGGGTGGAGGTAAGTATGTCACTATTATAGCCCCAGCTAGTGTGCAGCCCACTACATAGTTGATGATGACCTCAACCCCATCTGTCCAGCAAGTGCCTTTCCCTCCATTTTTCATGTGTAGCTTCTCTTTCACCCATCTAATAAAGGCCTTCTTAGTCTTCAAGACCATCCACACTTTCCTCTGAACTCTTATGCTATTTCCTCTGAGCTCTTATGCACATTTCATTTTAATATGGATAAGTTACTAACTCTCCTGCTAGGTTATGAATTTCTGAGTGCAGGACATTTTTAACACTCCTTTCTTTGGATAATGCTTAAACAGAAATTAGTCTTCAAAAAATGATATATCTTGGGCTGGAGAAATGGCTCAGAGGTTATGAGCAGTGACTGTTCTTCCAGAGGTCCTGAGTTCAACTGCCAGCAACCACATGGTGGCTCACAGTGCCCTCTTCTGGCATTCAGGCATACATGCAATCAGAACTCTGCATACATAATAAATTAAATCTAAAAAAAAGATATATTGTAACTGAAATAAATCAAGTCAGTGTCAAGAGTGACACTGATGCTAATTGATAAGTCTTTTCCCACACTGAAATTTAACTATCTATGTGTAAACAACAGAAGGTCTATGACTTCCCCCAACAAGGTCATTATTAAGCAACTTCTACTGAAGCTCTAGAATGTTCACCATGAGGAAACCCAGTACCAAAAAAGAATTCTGACTACTCTGACACTTCTTTATTAGAGGGAAGCATAGCTAGTCAAACTAGTCATATGGCATGGAAAGATATCCAGTCAGCCCCCAGGAATTCTAGTCATCCTAGCCCAAACACCACACATGAAAAAAGCCTTAGTGGAAATGACAGCCTACAAAGAACCAAGAACTCATAAGCTGTCCCAAATATATCTAGTTACTTAAGTCACTCAGCTGAGGCCCAGGATACTGAAGCAGATAAAAGACATGCCACTTTACTCTATGTAAAATCCTGACACAATATCTGTTTTATGCCACTATGTTCTGATATGGTTTGTATATAATGACATAATGGAGGGGGTGATATGCAAGAAAGATCATATATAAAACCATAGTAACTTTTCCAATATTTTAGTTACCAAAGAGAAATGAAGTTCTGAAGCTATGAGGCTTTTATGAGCCATGAAGACCCCTTGGACTTTTAAGTTCTTCTTTATAACAGGTATGTCTTTAGATTAGCCAAGTAGTCACTCACCATATCTTTGAATTAACAGTGCTGTGCCTGTTAATAAGGATGGGTTCCCATATTAAATATGCTGATGTAATAAAGAGTTCTACCAGATGCTTGATCAAACCCCCTTTGACCGGAAATGATTACAGAATTATTTAAAAGGAGGGAAGAAGATGATCTGTCCATGTTTCAAGTCTTTAATATTCTGAATTTGAGAAGTTAAACTATTTTAAACAACAGAAAAGGTGTTATGATAACAAATTTTGAGCAGTTTGTTGCTACTGACATTATAAAGGTATCTTAGTAATGTATTGAGCCAGTGAGATAGCTCAGCAGGTAAAGGCTCTGATAAGCAGACTTCCATCACCAACACCCACATGGCTGGAAGTGAACACCAATGTCCACAAGTCTTCTGAGCTCTACACTACATACACACACAAATAAATACATGGAATTAAAGTGTTGTAAAGTACTAATTTGTATTTATTGATTCCCATTTCACTCACCTTTGTCATGATTTTCCCCTCCTTCATTCTCTGTTACTAAAGAAATTTTGATGATATGTTTCATGCCTAGATTGTTTTAATTTGTTTGGATTGTTCCTCTAAATCTAATCTCTCCCTAACCCTGAAAACTGGCGTGTGTGGCAAGGGATATGTTTTGGGTTTGTTTTATTTTTTTGAGACAGTGCGTTACTATACCTGACCTGGAACTCCCAAGCTGGCCTCAAATTCACTGCCTCCCAAGTGCTGGGATAAAAGGTGTGTGCCACCACACCTAGCCATTTATAATTTTTTAACGTTAATATTTATCTTTTATATGTATGGGTGTTTCTGAGCACCACATGCTTGCAGAAGTTTAGATTCTCTGCAACTGGAGCTAAAAGCAATTGCTAGCTGCCTTGTGGGTGCTGGGAAGACTGGAAGAGCAGCCAGTGCAGTGCTCTTAACTGCTGAGCTCTCTCCAGCCCCACATTTATAATTTTTAAAATGTATTTTGTGTGGTTGTTTCTGTATGTACACACATGTGCATGCCATGATATGATCTTATGTGTGGAGATCAGAGAACTTACAAGAAGTTGGCTCTCTCCCTCCACCTGGTTTTGAGGCAGGGTTTTTTTCTCTTGTCTCTGCTACTTCCCTCCAGGCTAGCTGGCCCACAAGCTTCTGGCAGATTCTCCTGTCTCTGCCTCCCACCTCAATACAGTAGTGTGGGGATTACAAATGTACACCACCCCAACCAGCTTGAACCTGGATTCAAGAACCTCAGTTCATCAGGCTCGAACAAGTACTTCTACCTGCTAAGCATCCTCCAGAGCCCTTATATAATGTTTAAATGTGTCTTGTTGCTCCTCTAAAATCAAGAGCACTAAGAACATATTTTTCCCCATGTTCAGTACCTTCTCTATACAAACACTGCAGACTTCCTGCATTCCATACTTTCTGGGTATCTGTATATATTAGACAATATTTGCTTAGTATTTGTTCCCTATGCACAATAAAAGCTGAACAAAGACTAAGGAACAGTTTGTTGAAACACTAAACAAAAACCTTGCAAAACCGCCCTCATGTGTTAGCATGAGACTCGTGCAAACATCTGTAAGTGTAAACTTTTGAAAGGGTGTCCCTTCATCTAAATGCTTCTTCCTGTCTGCAGTTACTGTGCTTCTGTTCTTTCAGGGACAACAAGGACCATTTTCCTCATTCAGTCAACAAATAATCCCCAAAAGGCCTACTTTACACCAGAAGAGGGATGAACAAGAACTTTCCCTGTCCTTGTGCAATCTACAACTTTCTCAGCGTTTCTGTCAGGGTTAAAATCTTTCCCTTCTCTTTTCTTATTTCATTTTGCCTTCATCCTCATTTAAAACTTAAAAACTTTGAGTAACTAAAACATTTAAAGTGTGATCAACTGCCATTCATATTATGCTAAAATGTCTGGAAGATGTACACAGCACCTATGTCTTACACAGCAAACAATCAAGTTCGTGAAATGAACTTGCCTATTTTTTGGTCCACGAATTATGTCCTGTATAGTAAGTGAGTAATAAGTATTAAGTGATATTTGATTGTGCCAACAAAAGATGAGGCAAGTTTTGGGAAATACATCATGATTGTATAATTCCTATGCAAGAATATAATCCGTAACAGAATAGAAACAGCATCCTTCAGCTGTTCATCTCTAAGCACCACAAACTGAGAAAGCTAATTTTAAAAAGGCGGGCATGGATCACTGTATCTGGACTAACTGACACTCACATGTGCTGGGATTTCCGAGCAATTTCGTGAGGCAGGTTCCACCCATGCCCCAACTGGTACTATGGCCTGGTTCCTCTCAGCCAGCACTGCCAAAACGTCCTTGCTCTTCGTGGGGTTTAAAGCCAGGGGCAATTTTGTGGGATTCCGAGGCTTCTTGAGGGGCGCCATACCTCCTGGCATGTGAGTTCTGGTTAGGAGAAAGGAAAGAGAGAGGCAAGAAATAAAGACGGGCGTGAAATGGTTTGAAAATTACGTTCTGGAAGGAATGGGGGATGGCGGGGAGGATGAGCGAGGATTGTTTTGAGAGACGGAAAACTGCCCAGAGGTGAGCACAGATGGAGGGTGGGTCTGAGAGGATGACCAGCCGCGGCGAGAGCCGGTGCAGGAGGGTGGGGGACGCTGTGAGGCTCGGGCAGTTGGAGAGGGAACCTGTGAAGCCTGGAGCCTGCCGCGACCTGGACCTCCTCACACTCAAACTCCGCGGGTTGCTACGGAAAGCCGGGACAGCAAACCGCCTCTCCGCGTCCGACGCCCGCCCTGCCACTTCCGGGTTCGTGTCTTCCCTCTGGCTGGGAGGGTGAGAGGGGCGGGGATCCAGGCGCTGGGCTTCCGTCACTTCCGTTTCCTGCCCTTTGGATGGGAGGGTTAGAGTAGGTTGGCGAAACTGACCCACAGTTTAGGTTTTCCACTCCGTGGGCCCTGGCGCTGTAATCATCTCAGTTTTTAACCCCCCCCCCACACACACACACTTTGGAGATAGGTTTTCCTGTGTAGCCCTGGCTGTCCTGGCACTCTATATATAGATCAGGCTGGCCTTGAACCCAGAGAAACACTTGCTTCAGCCTCCCGAGTGCTGGGATTAAAGGTGTGCACCATCATCGCCTGGTTTTGTCATCTCCAACCTCCAAGAGGGGTGACTGGCATGATGTATGGGTGGGCAAGGGTTCTCAGTTGAAGAAAGCACCTGAAAAGCCAACAGTGGTTCTCAACCTGTGGCCCATGACCCCATTGGGTCACAAATCAGATACTAACAGTACAATTCATAACAGTAGCAAAATTACAGTTATGAAGTGGCAATGAAATAACTTTACGGTTGGGGTTCCCAGAACATGAGAAACTATTAAAAGATTGCAGTATTACGAAGGTTGAAAACCACTGGGCTAGAACAGCCTGCCAGGGCATTCTCAAAATATAGATTAAGCCAACAAAAAACCATACTGCTCCTTTATGCAGTTCATAAGGTTTACTGGAGAAGGATTGCTGGGCTCAAACTCACTGTGTAGCTCAGGTCTCGAACTTGCAATCTTGCCTTAGCTGTCCCAGTGGCTGATGTTTACAGGCGTGTGTCACCAGGCTCCACCTCAACATGTGTCCTTCAACAGTGAAGGGACATAGACAGGACATAGCAGAAAAGGAAACACTAAAGCACTTGGAGTTATTCTTTGTGTTTTGCTTTTATTTTGTTTTACTTGGTACTGGAAATTAAACCCACAGCCCCATACAAGCTAGTCAAGAACTATAGCCCCTGAAGATTTGTAAAAACTAAGCACTTTCAAGCAAAGGCTATATAAGATTATAGAACAAGCCATAATAATCTTCAAGGGAAAGTTTTAGGTATTTAATTGATTGTTTAATACATTTTAATGAGATCACCTAGGAATTTGAGGCTCCTCTTGCCCCAGCATCCCAAGGGCTAGAATAACAGGCATGCAACATCATTGAACCCAGGTATAAGAACATTCCAGGTAGGAGCTAGCAAGATGGATGGCTCAGTGGTTAAGAGAGTGCTTCCTGCTCTTCAAGAGGACCAAAGTTCAGATCCTGGCACCGATGTGCTCCCAATCTCCTATAACTCCAGCTCCAAGGATCCAATGTCCTTTTCTGTCCTTCTTAGGCCCATGCACGTGCGCACGCGTGCGCACACACACACACTCGCTCACACGTGTACATTTCAGGTGGAGAGTGAGCATTAATGTGAGAGCACTGACTGGTTGAGAAAAACAAAGGCAGCTGGTATGACTAGAGCAGGTTGAAAGGAGAAGACCTGAGATGTGCATGACAAATCATACAGAACATGTTAAGCACCCTGATGTGCTGAGATAGGACACCATTACAGGACTGTGAGCTGTTAAGTGCCAATTTGTCCTGATTTAAAAAAACACATTCTGTATGCTGTTTTGAGAATTAGGAGTGAAAATGAGGGAGGGAGGAAAGGCTAATTAAGAGGCTATTGCAATAGCTTCCTTGGGTATTTATGATGTCTTTGCCCACAGGTACAGTGTAGAAATGTCCAGAAAAGTAATGGGATTTTGAACATATTTGGGAAGCAAGATTTTCAGGACATGTTGAATATTTAGCTATAAATTTTGTGTTGTGGGTGTGACAGAGTGAGCAGTCAAGGAAAACTAGGGTTTTCTCTTGAGTGTACAGGATGGGACTGCTTTTTACTGAGGTGGTGAAGATAGTGAAGGAGTAGGGTTGCGATGGGAGAAGATCAGGAGTTCCACTTAAGTAATCAACATCCAAGAACATAATAGGACAAATGTGCCTGGAGGGAAGTTCTGATCTAACGGTAAATATGAGAATTATTAGCCTGTAGATTCCAATCAATGACTCCCTAGTCAATTCCTATAGACAGATGCCTGGGCAGGGTGAGTACATTCTAAAGAGACACTTGTGTCCCTAACTATGGCTATCTGGACTGTTGAAACAAAGTAGCCCCAAGAAATTGGACTTTCCCCCAAGAATCTCATGATTGGAGAAGAGAAAAGCTGAAGGCTGGTGCCAGCCATCAGGGAACTAGATTCCCAGAATTCAGGAAGAGCTTTCACAGAGTGCCAATAACCTGTCAGACTACCTTGCAGGAGACAGGACCTGAAATAACGATGGGTCAATAACCACACCTTGACCAGGATTGCTTAATTATGCCTTCTGTTTAAAACCTTATCCTCATGTTTGGACCCCTGATAGCTGGATCTCTTTGTCTCTTTTCAATATGATCACATTGAATAAAGCATTTTTTCTGCTTTTCTTTCACTTGTTTGTTGTCTATTTGTTTGTTGGGTTTTGGTTTTTCAAGACAGGGTTTCTCTGTGTAGCCTTGGCTGTCCTGGAACAGGACCAGGCTGGTCTCAAACTCACAGAGCCTCTCCCTCCTGAATGCTGTGGTTAAAGACATATACCACTTCCATCCAGCCATTTTCTGCTTTTCATTTTTAATTGGCTAATCAAGGACAGGTGGCCAAGACCAGCTTGTTAGGGCAACTTAGGTATAGTCTCTGATCCCTAACTCTGGAAACAAGAAAGTAGGTCTTCCAGGGTATCTGACACCCTCTTCTTGCCTCCGTGAGTATCAGACACAGTCATATGCATTAAATGAGATGAAATGAAGAGTGAGAGCATTGGACAAATTATCCAGGAGAAGCCTGAAATCACTGAAAAATATGACCAAAAACAAACAAATAAACAAACAAAAACAGGTTGGCCATTGCCTGTAATACCAATCTTTGAGGCATTTCAGGAAAATATCTGCAGATTGGTAGATGGATATACATTGGAAAGCAGTAAATGGTATAGTCAGATGATAAAAGATTTAAAATTAGAGTTGAGGCTAAGAAAAAGCAAGGGGTTCATTAGAAATAACACTGAAGGAATCTGTCCTGCCCCCACCCAGCTGGTTAATGGGCAGAACACATCCACTACTTGGAGACAAAGAGAAAATTAAGTTACAAATACACACACTCTCAGGAAAGGTATGGTTAGGTGGCTCCATGTCTTCTCCAAACCTTTACCTCAAATTCTTTATTTTCCATTGAAAGCTAGATCAGAGGGTTTCTAAGAACCCATACTCATAAATCCAGAAAATTCACATCTGAGATGCAGCTCATTTTCTGATGTGTTCTGCAAATATTCTCCTGGCTGGGAGGTTTAAAATACCAAGTGTTGCTGGCAACATAACGTGGAGTCCCAGTTCTGGAGCAGCCCTCAGCAGAGCTGGATAATCCTTTTTCTGCGGCTGGGAATCCCTGATCATGTCTTCACAAAGCCCCAAGTCTCTGTGTTCTTGGCAGCAGTCCACCCAACACAGAAACAATTGTTTGTTGAACACCAGGGAGCAGTTTGCTATTTGGTCACTATTCTCCTGTTTGTGACTAGCTGAATCATACTTGTAACAATATAGAAAACTTTGTCACATGTTAAACCCTCAGAGAGTAATCCAAGGAGAAGCTCTATAACAGTAATAAACCTCCTAACCCAACTCCTAGAGGAAAGAAGCATTAGGAACACAACCTAGAGGAGGGTTGATCTCCTCCCCAAGTTTGACCAGGGTTTCCTACAGCTAGCCAATGTTTTGGCAAATGTTCTAAAAGCAGACCATAGTGCTATCCACCTTAGTTCTTTTTTCCTCCCTCACCATCTCCAAAAGTAACCTTTCTAGCTAGAAGGTATAGAAGGGTCCTTCTTGCTGGACAGACCCAGTTTTTTTGTAATAGCATTTCAGTGTAAATACACCTGGTTTTTCTCAACAGCATCTATTCCAGTGCTTTTCGCAAAATAGTCTCTAATTTTATCATGCATACAGAGGTCTTTTTATCCTTCTTGGTGTGTGATTAATAAAGAAGAAGAAGATAGGGGTCTCAGTGTCTCTCCATATTTCCAAATATATATTTAGGACAAACAAGAAATGAAAAGCCAGATCCCTGTCCAGGGAGAACTTGTCACAGTTTGATAGTCTTGTAATTCCTTCAACTGTTTTCTCTTCAACCTCTCCCCTCTGCTGATGTGAGATATAGAACCTTTAATAAGATTAGCTATCAAGGCTATCTCAATACTAAACTTTCTAAGTACAAAATGAGTAATTTATTAATAATACAAATAATATTCATTTTTTATTATTTGTAACACAAAAAAAACTTACTTGAGGGACTGATACATAAAAGACAATGAAGGAGATAAGCAGAAAGAATAAGAGTTACCTACAAAAACTAGTTGGCTTGGGTCTCTACATCTGTTTCCATCAGCTGCTTTCAGAACCTTATTAAAGATTTGTGTTTGTTTTTGTTTGAGACAGTCTCGTGTCTCTCCATTTAGTCTCAAATTTGTTGTGTATATTAAGGGGATTTTGAATTCCTGACCCTCCTGCTTCCATATTCTAAGTGCAAGCAGTATGGGTGTACACTATTACACCTGCCCAAAAAACAATTCACTCTTAATATATAAATTTCAACATTGAAGGCACTTTGAAAATATTTTACACACTCTAAAATTGATGTCAAAAGAAGAATGGGGGAGTGAGTAAGACAGGGTCTTAGAAGTCCAGCCTAGCTTCAAGCTCACTATTGCAGAAGAAGACCTCAAAATCCCAGTCCTCCTCATTCTACCACTGGAGTATGGGGGGGGGATATAGGTATGCTTCATTATGTCCATTTCAAAAGAGGGATATTTTAAAATTATAGATAGGGACTGAGCAGATGGATCAGAGATCAAAACTCTTATCCCAAAATCAAGAAGACCAGAGTTCAAACTTGTAGAGTTCTGA